ATGATGATGATGATGATACATGATAATGATGATAATGATGATACATATACAAGGCTAAAATACAACCCTGTCCAAGTTCGATTCAACAGATGATCTAGAATGGCAAGTGCAGAAAATGCATCATGATGATGATTCCACATGCTGATGATGATACCTGATGATAAATGGTGCTGCTGCTGCTGCCGATCTTGGTGATGCATGATGATGACGATGGTGGTGTTGGTGATGCTACGTGATGATTTAAAATGGTTATACAAGATGATGATACATGATGATGATACATGATGATGATGCATGATGATGATGATACATGATGATGATGCATGATGATGATGATACATATGATGCCGATGATGATGGTACATTCTGATGACGACATACAATGATATATGATATATGATGATAATGATGAAGATTATAAATGATGCTGCTGATAATCATGGTGATACAATATGATGATACATGATGATGATACATGATGATGATACAAGATGATGATACATGACAATGATGGTGATACATGATGACCTATCTTACTCACCTGTAGGACCACCAGATCGATTCCGGTTCGCAGATTCGACCACATCAGGTAACTCACTGTAAACTGGTTCAGGAAGTCGTCCAGCAGTTGTCATTGATGCCATCGGAATAACGTTCTGGTAAAACAACGTARTATAAATTGCGAGCTTATTAATTTCACTTTGTTGATTGCGACAGCATGCTAAAGTATAAATTTGTCTTTAAATTTGAAATCAAAGAGGATAAGTCTATCGGTAGCGCACTCGAGCATGTCTCTTTCTCTTACTTCTGGGGTTTCAGGTTCCTTCCCTAAGCTTAGCACTACTTGGTCGTAGAGTTTTTCAGATTTCTTCCTTKATAATTGAGAGTTTGATCTATATTTACCTGGTTAGCAAGTAGTTATCTACCAAGAAACAAAATCTCGTACAGAAAAGAATGAGCTGATTTACCTGTAAATCTTGACTGTTGCCCATTACTAAGGAATTATAACGAAAAGCAAGTTTTTAGATCATTGGAATCGAAAAAGAGGACACCATGAACACGCGAGAGAGAAGCAGACCCACTTACCAATAGACTGGGGAGCGTTTCTTTGGTCTTGTTGCCTTTAATACATCAAACAATATTGTTATTAAACATTTTACTTGTAGTCGATATTGCTAGATACGTGCGAGTCGTGGAAGATAGTAAGTATGAATACCAATGGAATACCAATCTGTTTCCCAAAGATTTTTAAAGATGCAATTAAGATAAGGTGGCTTTCAAATAGTTGTCTAAAATCAGAAGCGTGGTCAAAAAAACCGATAGGAGCCACCGCCCAAGATCCTGTCTGGGTCCACTTCTACGTCACAGCTTTAAGATCCAATCAACATACCTGAATCCTTTATAATACTTGATAACAAACCAAGCAAACAGTGCGCCAATCACTAATACACAGGCAATGGCCCCCAGTACAGATATGATTGCAACAACGACTGCATCGCCTTTCTTGTTGGTTTTGTCTACGGAGACAGCACCGTTGATATGTGCTTGTGTTATTACTGTGGAGTTACTGGGAGTAGGCGTAAAACGCGGCTGGAAGTAGAGATATATAAAGTGTTGACACCTGTCAGAGAAAGATAATCTTGCTGCTACGAGGAATGTGGGAAAGAAAGAAAGAGGGAGGCGCCTAAAAAACGCTAACAATCAAATATATTTTTCGTTGAAGAAAAGGAAATGGTTGCTCAATCTCCCGAGCCAGAGACCGAATTTGTCTAAGCTTTCGACGCCAGATCGAAGTGGACATTAGAAGTCGATTTTTTTGCGAAGGGAAAATAACTGAAACCCCGGAGAAAAGCTCTCAAATCACAGGAGAAAACCCATGATCAACTCTACCCTAGACTCACATATGATGGCGAATACGGGGGTGTAACCAGTTAGCACTAAGCTGGTGAATGGCGGCGCATTAACAGTGTACTCATTCCTTGCTTTCCAAAACCTGTTGGCAAAACCTGCTTTACTGGAATAAGAATTGGATATTTTAACCTCACCTTGCTTTGAGGCCCTATATAATGAATATTTGGTGTGGTAGGCTCTTTGGTTTCAGTTTTTGTAATTCTTTTACTGGTAGCTGCTATTGTAGTACTAATGTCGCCATGTTGAATGGTTGGAACACTTCCTTGAGATGGGCTAATACTTCCCTTTACTATGGTAATAAAGATTAAAAGACACATTTACTGCAAATGTTTTAACCTAAAACGTTCGTGTTCAGAGGTTACAGAGTCAAAATATTCACAAAGAAATTTAGAAAATTATCAAATTTATCAATACAGACACCGTGCGATGCTACGAACTATACTATGTTTAACTTGAATTGCACAACACAGTAATATAATATATTACGACCATTGTTCAACGAAAAATTTGTATTATGGCCTGAGTGTGAAAAATCCACTTCCGGATGTCTCGTGTCGTGCACGTGACCGTGACGGTAGTCTTCCCGAGCATCTAATTGGCTGAACAGAGATCTCGTTGCGCTGTGATTGGTTCAACAGATGTCTTCCTCGCCGTACCGTTACCGTGCTGTGCGCCATGCTGTGTTTTAATCATATGAAACCTACTCTGAGGTAGTGAAATGTGCGTTCACAAGGCAGTTTTGTAGTAAGACAGCTATTCAATAGACCTATCCCGAATTCGCTTGACTGACCACGAAACAATGGTTTGAAGTCTAGACTGAACTTGGTTCTTTTATTCATCAAGTTCAACCTCGACTTGAAACCATTGTTTCGTGACCAGTCAAGCGAATACGGGATAGGTCTACTGATTTTTACTCTAGTCGAATAAAAAGTTCCTTGCACATTCAGGGCTTTCATTAAGTTTTGAAACAATAGGAGAAGATCATGAGCTGCCGTAGAGTCCTGGGGACCAAGTGAACATCTTACAAATTACTGGAGCATTCTTGGATCCTCGACCCTTAATAAATGACTCGGTGTATGACATAATCCTTACCTGATATTGTTCCTTTAGCCTTCAAGATCAGACAACGATTTACTTCTCCTTCAGATCCTCTACACAGAAGACCTACTCGAATGATCCGTCCAGCAAATGACACCAAGTCGTTGTTTTTCAATATCTGCGTGAAAATAAATATTTTGTAAAATCGCGGATACACGATGCAACATTGCGCACAATATTACAGGCAATGTTGCTGAATTAGGATCGTATTCTACTTCAGAGACACTGCGTACAACACTTACATCGTGTGACAAGGTTCACAACATCGATTGCCTGCAACATTGCGCACATTATCACAGGCAATGTTGCTGAAGTAGGATCGTATTCTACTTCAGAAACATTGCGTCCATCAAATTGCGTCGTGTGACATGACTCGCAACATCGATTGCCTGCAACATTGCGTGCAATCTGGCACATTTTCCGTAGCTTGAGATAAAGATTCGTGCTAGTGGCATAAAACATGCATAGTCAGTATAAACGCTTACTCAATAGATTATACGCGCACAAGATGAAGGTTCAAAACATTTGATGTTTTCCCTCGTAATTCTTAATGCTGTACGTAACCGATACCCGTCTAAACTAAACCCTTTGCCCAATCTTCGAGGAGTAATTATTAGCAAATCAAACCTGTAAAGACATCCTACGCGGCGGAGTTGGTTTCCTCTCTATGCCAAAAACAGTTCCATCACCTGTGGAATCAAAGGGACATTGCGGTATGAAGTACTACATAAAGAAGGAAATAATAATAATAATAATAATAATAATAATAATAATAATAATAATAATAACAATAACAATAATAATAACGTTTAATGCGCATTTAAAGAAT